TTTAACAAATCCACAGTTGAAGTGTTTACATACTGGCTCCCTCTTCCAATGTTTTCAGGCAGTCCTTAATTCTGAGGTTTTCTTTTCACTCTGTTTCCTATATCATCCAATTTAAGCAACCTCTCGCTCTCTCCCCGCCCCCCATCAGTGCCATGAAGCTCTGCAGCTCTGTCTGTCACTTGCTTCTCTTAGGCCGGCCTCTAGCATAGTGACTCCATCTCCCAAGTCAGTAACTTCCTTCTTTACTGTAAGAAGCTTGCTCATCAGATCCACGCTCATGGCCCTAATCTCAGAAATCAATTTGCAAATGTCTACCTTGGTAGCTATTTGATTCTCTTCAGTCCTGACATTTCTGTCTGATTTGGCTGCCGGGTACTTACTATTTAAATTTTCAGGTTTTGTTTTGTTTTTGAGAACCCATCTTCTGCAACCCTATGCTCTGTTTTTTGCGTGGTTAGGAGGTTGTTGGAGGCAGATTACTTTGCTGTCCCCTCAGAAGTCAGTCCATTTTAGTCCACCCCCCCCCCTTGCTGGTCTCCTAATTTTTTTCTTTTAAGGGGAGGGTGTCCCTTCATCCCACCTGCCTAAGAATTGCTTGCATACCTATCAAAACAAAAAAACATACCTGGCTTCACTTTGAGATAGAACCATGCTCTGGGCCGTCCCAGTGCATTTTGTATCTGAATGATTTGTTTGTTAGATTATACACTTCTTAGAGCCAGGACCATATTTTCTTCTATGCATTGTGCAGTACCAAGTACACTATTATTGGAGCTTAATTAATAGATCTAACAAATGCAAATTGGTCCCATTTGTCTCACTGAGTTATTAACTGTGAAACCTAATGGTGACAATTTAGGTATCAGTCCACATTGGCCTCAGGAATCAGAGGATCATGCCTAATTTGTGTGGGACATTTACTGAACTAGCTTCAGAATAAGCTGTAAAAATTACCCCCTGTAACTGGTTTACTGCTGACCATTTTAGCAGAAGTATCCAACTAATGTGATTATCCAGTGTGGTTGGAGATGGGAGAAAAAAATATGGTCCTTAGCCTTCTCCCAGCTTCAGGATTTCTCTGGAAAAGATGAATGCTGGTGGAGAGAGAAGAGTAGACTCTCTGTGTACTAAAGATGCTGAGCCTATTGGGAAGTTTAGTGGCAGCTGGCCAAGGAAGCATGGGGGGGGGAGTTTTATTCTGTAGTGAACTCTGCAAGTCTGAAAATGTTTACTGATGTACTTATTTGCTGTAGATATGTAAAACTGAGAGGCACCTATCTCATATTCTGCACACCCCTCACTAATTAAAAACGTAATCTTTGCAGCCAGTGTAACACAAAATCCAGCAGTATCCCCACAAAATGTAGTTTGGCATATCTGTCTGCCAAAATAGTCCTCAGTGCTGCAAGATTTTGCATCATTTCTGTGGGGACAACTTTAGTGTTGAAACTCAGAAATGGAGAGCACGAGTTCTACAGAGGATAAAATGTTGAAATTCATATTATTGTGTAGTCAAGTAAAACAGTATCTTTCCTTACTCCAAGCATTTTCCAAGACCCAAAGCTACCATAGAGTAATGCAAGCCACTTTGTCTCAAATATGGTGACCAACCATGAGGGGAAATTCTTTCTAAGTAGGGTGTCTGCTAATAGGCCCTGATCTAGCAAAGCACTTAAGTACATGTGTACCTTTAACTATGTGACTAGTCCTACTGACTTGAATGCACTATTCACATGTGTAAGTGCATTGCTGGATTGGGGCTTTAGAAAGGAAGATAAATTTTGGTGAGTAGAATAATTTTCTCCTGAATCCTGACTACAAGCTAAACATTAATAAACTTTAATGTTAAAATTTTAAGTGGCACTGTCAACACAAAAAAGTATATGTTGTACACAAATTTATTAACACCTTAGATTATTATTACTGGAATTTGTTTTAATTAACTTTGTCACTGTTTATGCTGCTTGTTTATGTTCTGCAGTTCTCTGCAGAACATAGGAATTCCTTTACGGGTCCATCTCATCCAGTAACTGACTGGCCAGTACCAGATGCTTCACCGTGCACAATTATGGAATAACTTACCCATATGGAAAGATTCTTCCTAATCACGGACAGTGAATGGTTGTCGTCTTTTCCCCTTAAACGTGAAGGTTTATATCCCATGAATAAAAATTAGTTATCCTGTTTTATATAATTCTAGATGTTCTCATTTTTCTCATTTCTAGTCTTTTTTCAAATCCTCCTAAATTCTTGGCTTTAATGATTTTCAGTGGCAGTGAGCTGTCAGTTAATTATGTGTCTGTGTAAAGTATATATTCATTAGTTTTAAATTAATTTCCTTTCAATTTTATTGGATACCCCTTTATATTATGTGAGAGGCTAAATAGGAACACCCAGTTTACCTTGTCTGTACCATTCATTGTATTGATTATTTCTGTCATGTCTCCTCTCTAAAGTAAACAGTCCCAGTATTTTCAGTCTCCCTCATTCAGAAGTCTCCATACCAATCACCTGTCCCTGGACCTTTCTGTTTCTCTCTTTTTTGAGATATGGTGATCCAAAATGAACACCGTATTCTAAGTGAGAGTGTACCACTAAAGAATATGATTGCTTTATACTGTTCTTATTTTCTATCCCATACTTGTACCTCTTAACACTTTGTTTTTGTTTTTGACCACTGATGTGCATTGAGCAGAGGTTTGCCTGGAGCTGTTCCAGTTGGTTCACCCATGTCTCTTTCCTGAGAGTTTCAAGAACTCACTAATGTCTATGACAGAAGTTCAGATTCCTCTTCTATTAAAAGGCATTCTGGTTCACCTATTTTTGCATTTAAGCTACTTGCATTGGCGGATAGAAATTTTATGATTTATTTTTTGCTCTGTATTTGCATTTAACGCCTTAGTATGACGTTATTTTCCAGAATTTATTTCTGTGATTTCAGAAGTTCCACTGTAACTTTTATCCTATCTTTCACCTGATATATAGAGAGATTTAAATTCTAAGTAAATGTCTTTATCCTGAATGTCCCCACTGCATGCATTGTATTTCCACTAGTGCCTATCAATTTTTGGAGGGGATTATTAAATAATTTTCTGTGCCAGCAATCTGGTTCTACTTTGGTTAATTGTATTTTATGTTTAGGTGCTCAATATAGCGAAGTCTAGGTTTCACACTTCAGGGAGAAGATGTAAAAACAGATGTCATTGAAGTTAAGGGAAAAAATTCTTGTGATCTTCAATTTTATAAAAGTTTGATTTTACAAAATTTAACTTGGGGCAAATTTAAGTTGAATGTGTCCCTTTAGTAACTTTACATTAATTTCTCTGCTTGATGTGTGGTATCTTTGGCAGAAGAATTTTTGTTTTTGTTTCGTAGAATCATAGAAGTGTAGGACTGGAAGGGACCTCTAGAGGTCATCTAGTCCAGTCCCCTACGCTCAAGGCTGGACTATGTAATAACCTTTGTTTGTTTTTACTCTTCAGGCAAAAAATTCCCTCCCTACTACAATCTGGCTTAACTTTTTTGTTATACCAGCAGAGTTTTTCAGTTTTTGAGAGGAAAAAATAATTGTTTTCCAAAACTGAACCCTTTATCAAAATCTTTAGGACATTTACTGGTATAGTTGCCTTTGGTAATAGTTTATGTATAGGAACAAAATCTAAATAAACCTTATTTTTCTATGCTTTCGAAGTGAATTAACTTCCAAAGACGATACCAGAATTTGGACTGCTGTATCTGAATGCGATATTGGTTTGTACTGATTTTTTTAATATGGTGAGATCAGCAATTTGCTATCACCTCTTTGCTTCAGGTTAAGTGGTAGGAAATAGCAGTGTGTCATGGTTACCCAGCAATAGGCCAGTCCCAAACCACGCTTCTTCACTGTGAAATTGATATTTACATGGCCTGCCCTCTTAAAATTGTGTTCCTGTTTCTGTTCAGTAGTGTGTTTTGGATGCCTTTGGGTTTTAGGTACACCCCAGAATAATTTGCATTAGCTGGAGCAGCATGTCCTTTGAAGTCCTACTGCAGCTGGTGGGGAAGAAACCTGAAACAGGTTTAAGAATTAAAGGTGCTTGCTGTCTGTGAATGAGCAGAAATAAGTACATCCTTTTGAAGAAATTAGAAGCAAGTGATTTGAAAGAGAAAGAGAAGAGGTCTTAAGTAGATGAGTGGGACTAAATCCAGGTTGATAAAATGCATGTGATACAAGTATGAAAAGTTGCACTACATTGGAGAAATAACAGTGTGTATTAAAACATGAATCCTAACAGGAACTACTCTTTATAAAGAAATTCTGCTTACATTTCTGTGGGACCTGACCTTTTACCTTTAATTAATTAATTCTGCATTCTAGTATTTGACAATTATTAAATATATTTATAGCATTTTTTAAAAATATTTTTCAGTTTTATATATCTGGGACATTTGCTCTATTTCTCTTGGTTGAAAATTTAAGCTTTACTAGGCTAGTGATTGTAGACCAATTTATGAACATGCTAGAACTGCAAAAAGTAATACTACTATATCAGGGGTCCCCAACGCAGTGCCCGCGGGTGTCATGGCGCCCGCCGGGGTGTCTAAGTGCGCCCGCATACTGGCCGGCGGACGAGCATCCGCCGAATTTCGGCAATGACGCCTCTGGATGATGCCGCTTGTCGGCAGCATTTCGGCAGATGCTCGTCCGCCGCCACGGTCCTCCGTGGCTCGTCGTCTGGCATCCGCCAGATGAAAAAGTTTGGGGACCACTGCACTATATTGTCCTTTATCCCTACACAATTTCTATTAATTTTATAAAACTCAGATTATACATGTTTAACAAGCAATTGTCAAATTAATTTTTTTTTGGAATCTGTTTTCCATTTCAATTTACTACTTTCAAATGCATAACACAACTTTTGTAGCATATCTCCTTATTTTACAATAAATGCTTCTAGAGCAGGAACGCATTATTACGGTCAATCTGTTTTAAAAAATAAATAAGCTGTATTTCTTCCTAGACTGTGGACATCTCTACAGCAATGAATGAACGAACAATGGCTCAGAAGAGGCTTACAGAAAATACATTTGACTTAGAGGCCATGTGCTTGTTAAATCGTGCACAGGAACAGGTGGGTTGCACTGTTTTTTCTTTATCAACGTTTTTGAAGTCAGTGAAAAATGATGCTAAGCTTCTTTTTAGATCAGGTCGCTTTCTCTATATAAATACCCAAATATGGATTTTAGGCGCCTGACTTTAGGCACTCAGATTTGAAAATTTTAGTTTAAATTTTTACCACAGAGTATTTATTGTTGGCGATACATAAGCTGAAAGGTAAACCAACTTGATTTTCAGATTGCAGGGCTGGAAGTTAACAGGTGGTGATAAATTTTATTTGTAAATACATGCCCAAAACAATTGTGATGAGCACATATAAAAAACTAGGCAGAGTTCAAGTGGGAGTCCTTGAGAGAATGCTATTTTAAAAAATCATCTTTCATAGTAAAACAGTACTTTAAATGTACCATAGCCTAGGATATATAAGGCATACCATGGTTTACCTGGTGATTTTTCTGCTTCACATGTCTGATTGAGGAATTGACCAGAAATAGTTTTTCCTAGTCCCGGAAAAGATTAATTATGGGGGAAAGGGGTTGGGGGAGACAGTAATAATTTTTGTACTTGTCTCCAGAACAAATACTTTACAAAAGTGATGAAAGGAGTTGTTGTAAGGTGGTAAAGAATAGGGAGATGACTTGTTCATGGTCACTCTATGGTTTAAATGTTTTAAAGTAAAAATAGTTATAAATTATAACCATCTAGTAACTTCCTATTTTTTTTAAGTGGGGGGGAGGTAAATGTTCCATTTCATAACACAAATTGCATGGATCTTTACAGTTATGGAGAGAAGTTGCAGATTTTTATTTTGTTTTTATGCTGATGTATCTTGTAGATTGATGCTTGGGCGCAGTCAAACTCTCTGCCGGGCCAATTCACAGGAAGTACTGGAGCACAGATTTTGTCCTCAGATGAGTTGTCCAACAGTGGTCCCCAAGCATGGATTAGAAAGGTAGATGATATGCAGACAGATATGTCCAAATATCAAATGATAAATAATATTGAAATTATTGGAAGATACGAAAAATGGCACACTAAAGTTGTTAACAGCCTACTACAATGTACTTGGGAAAATATACTATATCTTTAACTGAATTAATTTACTATATGCATTCAATCTAGGCATAATAACAATGCATATCTATCTAGCTATGCGTTAAGGTGTTCATCTGAACAGGTTTTCTGATGCCTAGAGAGCTTGATAGGTGCATTATGGAAATTTAAAAAGAGTATGGCTGGTATTTGAAATAGATTGGTTCACACATTCTATTACTGTTGATGTTTCTGAATTGACATTCATAATCTTGGGTATTGTTGCAGTGGTAGGTCCTCAATTAAGCTAATCCGTTTGGAATGTATTGGTCAGGGCCTGATCCTGATGTAATTGAATTCAGTGGTGTTTTGGCATTGACTTCAATGGGAACAGGATCAGCACTTCTGTCCCAAGATGAATTGTTCTGTTTGGATTAGTTCCATCCATTTGCTTTCTTGCCTCTGTTTGCATTATATAACACCATTTCTGCAAGCCAAATATTTTGAAATATTAAAATAGGGGTTGCAACTGGTTTATTGATCTAGTATCATCAAGCATCTAGATACTTGTTAATAAGAGAAATAACAGCCTATCATCTGAGCAAAATGTGTCATACAATTATATGTTTTTGTAAATTTGTTAATATTTTATATTTCGTCTTTGAAAATCAATGTTGAATGAGTTCTGTTTCAGTGAATAAAACTGGGGAATCTATGAGATTTCCATTTTTACAGGCAAATAATCATGAGTAACAGCACTCACTCTGGCAAAGGTTGCAGCAGCTGAGTTTGTTACAAGACTGATTTTGCTCATTCTTCTACAATCCACAAAAAAGTAATAGGATTCTCAAAACTAGTAAGTTAGGTTTGAAGCTTAGGCAGAAATTTGACATGAACTGAACAAGAGGTTCTTGAATCATGACACTCTAAAAATAGAAAGTGTTCACTAAATTTCAAAACTCTAACCTCCTCTCACCCCTCCCCCCCCCCCCACGCTTTGAATTAAGACAATAGAAAGGAAAGAGAAACTTGTTAGATGGAAAATTTTCTGGGATCTTGATGAGATCTAGGGCTGAGGACCAACATTTACTTTATGAAAGTCTTAATTTAAAAAGTTATTTTGAATTTGTAACGTTGCTTCAGAATATCAGCTCCAGTGATTTAAAAAAATAGAGTCTCTACCTTTTTCCTGGCAGAGAGAGACTTCAAAATGAAAACACTCAGCAGAGAGGCTTATCAGTGAGGAGAAAAGGAGAACTTTTCCACTAAAAGGCTTGTGAAAGAGGCCAGTAAACCTTCCTAAGGCTCTCTGGGGTTCTCTCTTCCTGCATACCTCAGGAGATTCCCAAGACAAGGCAGGAGAATGACCCTTTGATCTCCTCTTTCCCAAGCCCCCCCATTTTCATCCGTCTCTCCTTCTTTGACATTCTTTGATGGTCTTCTGTGGCTTGCAGTTGCAGGACTGTCCTTTAACAAAATACATGGAGTGGAGAAGGCAGGTGTGTTTTCCCTCTGCCTTTTTCTCCTGCACTCCTGAGCTGCTTCTGAGCATGTCATCCCTCTCAAAAGATATTCATGTCTCTGTGGGGAGAAACGTGTAGAGAACTGACCTCTGACTTGAAATGCGGGTGTTACCAGAAACAGAAAGCTCCAGATGGGGATGATGTGGTCAGCAGCGAATGTAGGAGGAGTAGGCAGGGAGAAGCACTAGCACTTCTATCCTTTCTCTAACCAATAGGCATCCTGTGGTTTGCAGCAGCAGAACTCTTCTCTGGCAGACCATAGGAGAATCCATTGGTTGGAGAAGTCAGGGAGGTACTCGTGCTTCCCCCAAACTTTCTCCTGCATAGTTGAGCTGTTTCTCAGATTGACCTCTTTGCTCCTTTCAGCTTCCCCGTTCCACCAAAATTCTGGGGTTAACAGGTGACCACAATCACAAACCCAATCTAAAGGGCTTTGGGGGCCCACACAAGTCTCTTAAAGCTTGCAGGAATTGTGGGACTATTTACAAGTCTCACAAAGCTTACTTAGAGGGTTGATGAACTTTACAAGGTGGACCTCAGCTCTGTGGATGAGATGGGAAAATCTCACACAAAAGGCAAAGCAGGCACACAGTTTTTCGAGTGCATATTATCTTTCAGGAACGGTAGTTTTAAAAAAATGAACGAACTAGTAAATGCAGAGTTCAGGTTGCATTTCTCAGGCAAGGCACCTGAACTACCTTAATTCTGCTCTTGTAGTGATGCCCTGAGAAATTAAACTCATACTCCGTTATCCATCATACCAAAATGTTAAATTTCTGTTGGTAACCACAAAAAGTAGAATGTCTTATTCATAGCTATGTAGTGGTATTGCTGCTTTATGGCTGTCCTTGCAGTCATACACAGCAGGCACAAAGAAATGTTAGATATTTCTGTTACAAATAGCATACTGAAAGCAATCATGCCTGTCTTTACTAAGGGCCCTGCCCTGCAAGGAGCTGGAGGCATGCAGCACTTTGCAGAATCAAAAGTGTTAGTAGAGACAGAGTTAGTGTGTCTCCATATGCAGACATCGCACTTAGTATGACAGGTATGTATGAAACAGATTATAAAACCAATGTGTGGTGTACATTTTTGATCCTCTAAATGCAAAGATGATAATAGGCATATCTTTGAGGCGAGCTAAGTTAGTTGGGGTTGCTTGTTTGATCAATGCAATCTTAACTCTGCATTTCCTGGGTTTCTAAGATTTGGGTTTCCAAAAATTTAATTAGTATTTTTGGAAGGTAATATGTAGTGAAACCGCTATGTACCTGCAACCTTAACTTCACCTTAATAAAATTTTGTGTGGCATGTAAGTTTATTTACTTAAAATGGTTAATATGGCAGATTGAATAACTGTGGCATTCCAACTAGCAGTGTTTTTATTTTCTTTCTTTTTAGCAATGTGACTGATTCATAATGTTTGGACATTGGGTTGTTGAACAATATTCCCAAAAGAACAACATTCTGTAGGTTTAATTTTATCCCATTGATACAATTGTGACCAATATTATTTTTTCTGAAAAGTGGTTTTCTGTTTATCATCAATGATGTAATCAGTTCACAAATGTGGAAATTATTAACCTATTACATATAGTATGTATAGGATAAATTCTCTCTGGAGGCTGATGACTTGAAACAAAAGAAAACAAAACAAAGCAGAATGTTGCTGTACAAAATATCATTTGAGGGGAAGTAGGTAAAATATTTTGGTCGAGCAAGTTCTTTTGAGGCTTACTCTTGTTTAGACTTTCCCAACGCCACCAGTTGCTTCTAGATCAATAAACTCTACCACGTTTATTATACGACAAATACATTTTTTTCCAAAACTAGGTGGTTTTTTGGTTTGTGTTTTGTTAACTGGGTTCTTTTTTTATAACACATTGCACAGTGTAATGGTTTTTTTGTTGATTTGTGCTATCGCTGTAAAACAAGGCATTTTCAGGGCTGTTATAAAGCTATATTTAGAGCTAGACATTTTGAAGAGGTAAAATCCTGTCTTCCACATTCCCTTGAGCTCACCACAAGTGAGTATGACTCCCTTCGCCAGTAGATGGAGACAAGAAAAAAAAAAACTCTTGTGATATCACTTCCTCTTGAATGGAGAGTTGTCTGGCCGTCTCTGATCTTACAAGAAGTGGAGGCAGCCTTTCAAGTTATCACGTGCTCATCACCTTCAGGCTTGTCTGCTACAGTGTGCTATGCTTGGGGATGAAAGTAAAGGTCAGGTGGTTTAACAAGACACTCTGATGTGGCTTATGCTCCGTGGGCTCCCTGTCCAGTACTGAATCCATTTCAAGTCCCTGGATTTAATTTTCAAAGGCCTCCGAATGGACTGGCTCTGAGGCTTCAGAGACTTCCTTTCTCTCTGGCCCAGCACAACAGCTATGATCAGCAGAAATCCTGGAGGTGACAGTGCTCAGAGCTTTTAGGAGGAAGGGGATAAGGTTTCCTTTGTGATGGGCTCTTTACAATGGAGTTTTCTTTCAACATAAATCACTGTAATCAGTACCTTCCCTGTGGAATGGAAAACCCGTATCTTTGCAGAAGTCTTCCCAGGATAACAGCTCTAAGGGATGATGCAGCATCACTTCCAGAAGATACACAATCAAAAATATTCTAAAGCTTTATATTCTGTACAATCTAAAATCAAAACAAAAAGCCCACCAACAAAACTAAGCACTCAGTAATAGCATTGTACAAACAGGGGTGGCGAATAGTCTTTCAAACTAATAGGTGCTTTTCAGAATTTTGTTGGTACCTCTTTGGATGAATGTGAACATAGAGGCCTTTTACTCCGGAGTCCAGGATTCATTGGCCCTGTGAGCGGGTGTTAACTCTCACTTGTAGGCGTTTGACCTGCTGTATATCTTCCCTATACGTCTCACCATAGTCAGTCCTTCAGAAGATAGCCAAATTCAGGGAGAAGAACATCCTGGTGTTTCTGGACTGGCTGGAATTCCTGGACTGGCTCAGGAGGTGGTAGCACTGTAGCTGGCTGGATCTCTTCTGTGATCACCCACTGTCTCTCACTGTGGGTACAGTTCAGCATGGAGAATCCCTTGTTCTTGAGTTGGACCTGCATGAAGAGGGATTTATCTGAACCGCTTGATAAGTGTTCAAAAGCAGATTAGGGCATATTTCAAGCTCGATGCAAGGCCAGAAGATTTAAGTCCAGTTACTAGTGAAATTTTTTTCTGTTTTTGAAAGGCCTGGAATATTGGCTTTTGGGGGCCATGCCACTGTAATACTAAGAGGCAAAGTTAGAACATTCTTCTATGATGCACTTTTGAAAGTAATGTTTTTTAGGACAGCTGACAAGCTAAAATTGAGATTTTTTTCCCCTCTGTCCCCATAAGAACTGTATTTAGTGCTAAACGCCCTCTCACATGCACCATTAAAGAGGGGTGAACATTTCTTTTCAGTTTGCTTTTTTGTTAGGAGAGAACGAGTGCTGTAAGTCCTTTTGGCAGTATTCCCTGCATTAATTTTTCATCAGGACAAGGTATAATTAAGCTTGCTCTCAATTTCCTTCCAAGTTGGTTTTTTCCATCCACAAGGCTGTTCCTTCTCCTTATTCTGACTGGCCCCATGAAACACTCGCTGTGAAGAGGGCTTTGTGTATCTTAGATATAAAGTCAGATCACTTGTGGTGGTGGTGGTGTTTTTGAGAGTCCCAACCATAAAAGGCTTAGCAATCTGCAAGCTTCAGTGTCTTGTGTGAGAGGAACCATTGACGAGGATAAAACAGCTGTGTTTTCTGTGAAGACATATTCCTTCAACATCATGTCTACCTCACTGACAGAAGAGGATGGGATTCTTCCCCTCCAGAACTGTGTAGAAAGCAGCCAGTTAAGCATATTTATATGCCATCTCAAATCATTCTGGACTTGATGTTTTAGGCTTTGCTGCTGCCATCTTTGGTAGCCAGGTCCTGCTCACTGTAGTCCCTTACTTTACTTTTTGTAAGGTACTCACCTTTTCTCTTGTTATTGACGTTCCCACTTATCTGGGCTTTGTTGGCATACCATAAAGCTGTAAAATTGTAATTTTTTACCTGTTAGTTTGGTTTTTAAGCCCTCCTGTGCCATCCCAGGTATCCCACGCTTGTTCTTATTTTGTTGTTGGAGTTGAAACTGTTCTGAAGTTATTTTCCTATTGTAGTTTTAAGCATTAAGCATTCTAAATTATTTGAGCAGGATCTGCCAGCCAGCCTCCTTTATAGGAGAAGTGGTGTCACAAGAGCATTGCTCTTTGTTCGTCCCCATCTGCTGGTAGGAGGAGATGTACCCACTTGTCTGGTCTGGCATAGGAGGGCTTGGAGATTAACAGGTGAGAAGTTGCCATTAAACTGTCATCTTGATGAGCAGTTTCTCTTGTAATACAATTTGTGAATAGAGATTGGGTAAATGGGAAATATTTTTTTTAATCTGTTATGAAACTCATTTGACAATGATAATGAAAAGAATTAGGAACATAGGATTTACTGTACCTGATGATCCTATTGGACTGTCTAGTCTGGTATTCTGCCTGCCTAATTTAAAATAAAAAGGAATTTGAATCTTTCACATGTCCTGCATCACTTGATTTTTTTTTTTTTTTAACACTTTCAAAGTTCACTACAAATGTGGAGCTCTTACAAACATCTCCGTGAGATAACGGGGTGGGTGAGTTAGTATTATCTCTGTTTGGAGAGAAGGAAACTGAGACAAAGAGTTGAAGTGTCTTTTCCAACATCACACTGCAAATCGGTGGCAGAGTGGGCTTGGAACTTAGTCATTTCAAGTACTTTGTTCAGTTTTCTAGACCATGCTGTTTCCTCTTAGTCCATTAATTATCTAATTAAAAAAATTAATATTTTATAAATGTCCTTTTTCACAGTTGCTTTAAAGTGCAGTTTCACTCTGAATCTAACTGTATAAATGGCATTGTATGGCTTCATGTTTTTCTTTCATGATTTCTATTTCAGTTCTCCTCTATTTATAAGTAAAAAGTTTTGTTTTGTTTTTCCTCTGACCTGCAATACTTGTTCTCTTTAATTGGAATGTGAGACAAGCTGAGCTCTTTATTTCTGGTAGTGATGTGTGAGAAACAAACTTTCTGCAGCCGGCAAAGGGGTTGTGCAGGTGTAACTGTTTGCAGTGTAGTAAATGGCTTTGTTAATGAAGCACAAGAAGGAATAGAATCCAGCTCTCATTCTTAACTGTGTTGGCTCTGTTGTGCTAACAAGAGTGAAAAGCAGTAAAAACATGGTCTGCCACTAAAATCAGCAGATATCAATACAAGATATGAATGCACAAGAAGCAGATCTGAGTAAGACAATGCCATGTTTACAGTAATTTTGAAGTACAATTGCACTTTAAAAGTTTAGAGAAAGTTAGATTTTTTTTTTCTAGGTTTAGGATTTGTTTAGGCTTTGATATTTTCTGTCTAAAATTAATGCCTTCATTTTAAGCCACGAAATGGGTATATTTTGAGTCTTTTTTCCAAAATTAATTTGAAATTGTAATGGGAAAGCTCTATAACATGAAAGTGACCTCATCAAGAACTTGCTCCTACTCTGGTTTGTGAACTGAATACACGTTGGTGATAATGAAACAGATGTTGATGTTGAAAATTCTATCATTGCAAAGCAGGTACAAAAGAGGAATCGGAACCCTGGGTGACATTGACTGGGGTTTGTATCATACTCTGCATGGTTGACCTTTTCTTATGAGAGGTTCCTGGAAAAGACAGGGGAGGATGAAACCGGAAGTAAGTAAAAGCCATTCTAGGTGTATAGAGTGAGGCAGTTGGTATCGAACATCAGCTAACTTGTCTCTGCATACACGTAAACTGCATGGCCTGCACCGATCGAAAGTTGACTGGAGAGGTAAACTTAGCCTCTGTCTACCCTTCCTTCCATCAGAGCACCTTGTTGTTAAACTCAACATTCAGTTGCATGGTTTCTAGGGATTTGTTTTGTTGCTTATATAGGTAAATATTTGGAAAACTATTCCTATTATACATGTTCAGGAATTTTTATGATTTAACTTCTTAACAACAGGAAATGTGGGGGGTTATGATGCATATGTCCTTGGTATGTGCCATAATTGCCTGTGTTGAGAGGCTAATAGTTTTTATTAAGAATATATATATTCTAAGTCTCCTGGAAAAGGAAAACTTCTAATTCTGCTTATATTTGAAACCAAGGAAATATCTGTCTTCGTCTCTTCAAATCTGGGAAATATTTAGTACGTCAAACACAGTAAAAAAATAAAATAAAGAAAAAAGTGTTCCGTGAACTTACAACTGTTTTGAAACATAGGTAAATGCTACAAAAATACTAGGCATTGTATCTATTACCTACTGTGTGAGAATAACTGCGTTATCAATACCAATGTGTAAACTTGTATATTAAGTCAAGCAATTTGCTGCTGTGATGGAAATGACTGACTTACTTGGGTCAGTGGGTGGGGCAGAAGAGAGATGATAGTTCACAGAATAACCTGTGAACTTTCACCCCTCTATATGGAAACTTGTTTCAGGGTCAAATCCTTGTAGCTGCCTTCTTGCCACGGTCAATGCCAGCCCTACTATTCACAACACTGCGGCCATCGAGGCCTAGGTACGTAAACATTTAAGGAGTTTTTAAAGTTCTTTACAAGAAAACAGATTTTTAAAAGTTCTATTTGATAAGCTTACGACACTTAACAACTATTATGTAATGATGATTTGAGACAATGATATTACAACTACTGCTGCTGAACTGTGTGGCTAAGTACCTTATTTTTGTTCATTTGTTTTTAAAGAAACGCCTGTATCTGTTCTATGTGGATTTTCAGAGTAAAATGTGTGTCTGCAACTGCTGCGTAATAAAGTGTGGAAGCATTATTCATATTTAAAATATGCCTAAACAGTATTTGAATGTCATTACTATATTTGCTTGTATTTTGTTCAATAACTAGGTACACTTGGCACAAATGTTGCTAGTTAAACAATTAACACTGCCTCCTTTCACAAGATAAGAAGAGATACATTGGAACCAAAGTAATGTGTTTAAAAATAAACGTTGGTTATCATTTTATTACATACACGTTTGAAACAGGTCAATGTTTAAAATTGCCATTTTTGACTTAAAGGATCTCATTAAAATTTTCTTAAGCTGTTTCTAGTTTGATATTTTGAACAAATTATGTGTCTAACTTTTATATTGTGAACTCTGGTTTATACAAGCCATGTAAATGTATGTAAAGCTAAGGTGTATTCACTTGAATTGATCAATGAAAGGTTGTTAGAAACATTTTGGAAGCTCCCAGTTATTTTTTTAAAATCAAGTGCTAACTTTAGGACTTGTTTTACTTTTCTTTCTTTGGATAGGATCAGTTCTTAAGAGCAGCCCCTGTAACTGGAGGAATGGGAGCCCAACTGATGAGAAAAATGGGCTGGAGAGAAGGAGAGGGATTAGGAAAAAACAGAGAAGGAACTGTGGAGCCTATCCTAGTGGATTTTAAGACAGATCGAAAAGGTAAACTCTTTCTTTGAGCCTTTTAAAACATTATAAAACTGATAATGGTTTTCTTTCTATTATAGCAAAGAATAGAACAATCTTAGTATATGGAAATTATTTTCACTGTAATATGTATATTACTATAAAAATATTACAATAAAAATAGTCGTATTGATACTGGCCCCTTACGCCCTAGTCTACATACATTTAGGCATGAGCTTAACTTTAAAGCCATAAATACTCTTATAAAAGTCTATGGGGCTCCTCTTCCATTTAAAGTTAGACACATGCATAAGCATGTCTGCAGGATCAGGACCCTACTGTGGCTTAAATGAGCTGCCCAGATTACACAACTGGGTATTTTGCATATATATGCAAACTCAGCAGCATTTTTCTTTTACAATGCATGCTGAGGTATGCTGTGATTCAGAAAGAAAGTTTTTAAGCTCTTTAAAGTTAAAATTTTTAAATGTGCTGCAAAATTCCAATTGACTTCACCTATATTGTTTCATAATGTGCATTGGTAAACCAGATTAACATTGGCTTGTAGTTTAAGTAGAAAACCAAATATTTACCAGTTGTTCCTTAACCTTTTTGAGCTTTACATTACATAGATCACATTTAAGCTTACAGACATTTAAAGCAGAGTTTTCATTCAATCATAGTTTCAATCAGAAAAGAAACAAAGGACATAAACTTAAACTCTATAGGCCTGATTTTCATAGGTGCTGTTAAGTCAGTGAAAACTGCAGATGCTAAAAACCAGACCCTAGCTGTCCACATAGAGATTTCCCAATAGCGGAATGCTCTCAAAGTACCAATCACACATTGAAAATAAGGTGTTATAGTCAAGATTGTAAAAATTGTCTGTGTGGAGTCAGGAAATGGAGACTGAGGAGTCTCACTCTTCCGTTTTACAAGTATAAGAATGAGATCCTGTCTAAAGTTTATAGCTCCTTTAGCAGTCTACACAATGGCTTTATAGCTGAGCGATGAAACAGTCCAAAAATATAGAAAAGGAAGCCATGAAAACAAATGAGTTTTACATATAAAGTGGCTAAACCTGCTTTACAACTATTCATTTCTGTCAGACTTCTTGCCAGATTGGAGCTAGAGAGAGAGAGAGAGCGAGTTTGGAGAAGAATTAGTTGACAGATGTTCCAGGAAGAAAACTTCCTTGTTGAGCTGCAGCACAGCCTTTTCAGCAGCTCTGTCCTGTAAAGCTCTCATTGCTGATAACAGTTCCTTGAGTTTTATGTGGGTAATGTCACAGGCATCGGGGAAGAACTATATAGATCTATAAACTAAACTAAAATTCCTTCAAGGTCATTTCTCTTTTTCTGAGCAGCCTGCAGAATGGGTTATCTGACAGGCTCACAACCATGATTGGGAGTACTAACCTTATTGAGTGTCTGGGGACCTCTGTGTGGTATCTGATAACATTTCTTACATCTGTAGAGTTTGACATTCATCCCAATGATTATTTATATAATCCTGAAGACCTGTACCAGGACCAGTGCCTTGTTGTGCTAAGCGCTGTACAAACAAATAGGCAGATATGTTCACTGCCCCAAAGAGCTTACTGTTTAGTAAGATGGCCAGAGAGGTGGAGAAGAAGAGTACAGCATACAAGCAAAGTTATTAGTAAGACTGCTGGCATCCATCTGAGGAGAGCTCTGACCATGCGTCTTCCCTTTCTTGGTATAGGTTCACCGACAAATATTGATATCCTTGCAGCGATCCCTGGGTTGTTTTAATTTAATCCTTTTTTTCCTGTTTTGAGTTTTATCAGATAGATGATCCTTTCCAACAGGCTCTCTAAAAAAATCAAACCCAGATTGATAGGGAGAAGTGCTAAAGTTTCGCTAAACCAACATGGGTGCCTAATGTTAAGATCATGTACACTATAAAGAGGCAACTTGGGTTGTTAAAAATAGGTAGCTGAAGTGATTCTTGTACAAGGGGAGGGCAATCAAGTGCATTGGAATATACTGATGCTGTTATTTATAAAATGCCAAATCTATGCCAAGTGCTGTGCAAACCAATATGAAGAAGAAGGGTTGTGGACAGCCTTGACCAATGTGTGTGTACTGCTGAAAGCCAGACTGGAACCTTATCTAGAAGGGGTTAGTGTTCTGCCAAAAAATTTAAATGGACAAAGTAATTTTCTTCTTCCCTTCTTATAAAAGAAAACAATTTTTGAAATCTTGTGTAAAGTTACTAAAAAATAGTGAGTGTTTTGACTTCTGGGAACAGACATCCAGGGACAGTCAATTAACTTTGTTCAGTAAAAGCTATTTTGGGAAACAGCAGCAAGGTGTGAATCCAGAGCTTGCCAGCCTTTCCCATGGCTCTGCACCAGACCCAGCTACTCTCAGGCATGGCCTGAACAGCTTCCAGGCCTACAGCCACTAAGCTACTCTTTTGCTCTGTTGGCTGCCATTAAGCTGTGAGAGCTCCCTTCTCAGCAGCTGAAAGGTGTAAAAACACACTGCTTCAGTTAACAGTGGAAAGCAGAACATCTTCCCATTCATTGCTTCAGAGCCATACCTCTCAAGCTGCCAGATGTGAAACATAATGTGCTCTAGGATCCCTCCCTTCATTGTAACCTCAGTTTTGTAATTATTTTTGATGTAAATAATTTTCAACAAGAAAAAGGAAGAAACATTAGAGTTGTTTGAATTTGGAGGTAACTTTAGGGCCATAAACCCTTAAAATAAACTATGTTTGAAGTTCTGAGGGTAAAGGCGTGGTGGTAATGAGGAGGTGAGTTTAAAAAAAACAAAAACGAACAGCAGTATGTCCCCTTTACTCCCTTCATTCCCAGAAGCCAGGAGAGGAATCAAGTTTAGGTAAGAAACAAGAAAAATAAAAGGAGAGGATTGAAGGAAAAGAAGTTCAGAGCCATTGTCGTTCAAACGTTTTATTTTTATATGTATTTAAAAGTCTCACTCGAGAGGGAGTAAAGGCATTTTTGAAATTAATGAGGGTAAAATGTTTTATTAAAGGAAAATGGTGGGTCACTGCGTGCATTTCCTTACGCTATAGGCAGATTGATTGTTTTATCTTACCCTTTAAAATCTTGGGATTGGAAGTTTGGAGTGGAGGACATGGCTTATGAGAGGATGTCTTGTACAAAGTAATTAATAGAATGAAAGTTTGATAGCTACTGCCTCAGAACTATACAGAATGTTTTTTGTTTTTTTTTAATCACCTACTTATTTTTTCCTTCCTCCTGAGAACAGACAATTGCAGCAGGTTAGGTTTTCCATGACTTTTCAACAAGCTTGAAGTACATGGGGGTGGGGAGAATGTTGAACATTGGGTGGCTTGCAGGAGACCCGCACCTGTGAGTCTCTTGAGTTTTAGTTCAGCTCCTGCCATACATTTTTCCCAAAGGTGACATGAGCAGTGAAGTACTGAGCTCTCTGAGGGGGAAGAGTGCCTTCCTTAGTGTGCTTTGTACTTCCTGGTGACTGACAGACTAGTTACAGTCTCAATGGAACAATTAATGGAACAAGTTGAGAAGATTGGCATAGTGTGAAAAAATAGTAGTGTTGAAATGAAGGGAGAGATTAAAAGGCTTTTGAATGTGTGATTGTGCTACAGTTGGCGTCATCATAGATAGGCGTCATTAATGCATGCTGTTGGTTAATGGCATGAGAGAAACCCATGCTCCAATAGCAAGAGTTCAATGCAAAAATCAGGTTTATAGCGGTAGAAAGTAACACAAGATATAAACATGGTCCATATTTTGTTTAGGCCTTGTTGCAGTGGGAGAAAAGACACAAAAGAGATCGGGACATTTTAGTGTAATGAAGGATCTTTCAGGTAAGGCCTTTTTTTAACTCCTTTAAAATATCTAATTTAAGGTAACTTGTCTAGGAGTAACATTGGAATTAATATAGAAATAAAATATGTTGATATATTTAAGGTAAACATCCAGTTTCTGCATTGATGGAGATATGTAATAAAAGAAGATGGTCACCACCTGTATTCGTATTGGTGGATGATAGTGGGCCTGATCATCGCAAACATTTTATCTTCAAGGTAAGCTTGAATTCCCTTTTCTGACATGTCTAGTACTCGGTTAGGAATGATAAATCTAGTATTATTAATTTCATTTTTTTTGTATTCCAGTAGTGCCCCCAATGTGCTGGGCACGGTCCAAACACACAGGAATACAAAGTCCTTATTCTAAAGAGCTTACAATTTAACCCCAGAACCTGCAAACACTTATGCACGTTTGTAACTCTGAAGAGGCTAAAAGCCATTCTTCCCACTGCCTATTTAAATGAGTTACCTGCCGTAGTCCCATGAACAAGCTTTAGTGGAACGGCCCTTGTGAATAAGTTGAGCAGGATTTAACCCTTTTTCATTCTTTAGTCAGTTTAGTCCAGCTTACTCTCTTTCCACTTGAATCTTGCATTAATGTTTGCCACTGAAAATGACTACTCTTCTGCTAAAGAACTGACAGAGAGAAATAGATCACAAAAACGTATTAGTGACTTCTCTCCCTCGCTGGGAGAAAAATTCTCAAGCATTGTGGAAAAGATCACTGCAGTTTTACAGGAGTCCAGGCCATAACATCTTGTCCCATACTTAATTTCAAAGGTTTGCATATAGAAAGAATAAATACAGGCATATGCTTTTTCTGCCTTAATGGTAGTTTCTTACCAATTATTTTAATTTATCATGCTAAACCTGGGCTCTGTAAAGTATTAGGCAGTATTTTAGACCTACATTTCTGAACCTATCTGGCTCCTAAAATGGTCTTGGAATAAATTAGTAGTTTTAACAAAACAAGAGTTCTCACACTGCTCCATGAAGTTTGCTAAACACCGAGTCTATTGTTGTCCCCAAGGAGCAGATTCCAGAAAAGTGGGCCCACCCCTGAGAATGCATTGCTATTAATCCCAGAGTTCAGTCACAAGAAGCAAAAGCAAACCAGTAGACCAAAACTGCCTGGAGGGGATGTAGGGAGAAAGACAGTCTCTCAGCTACTATTAGGTCCCCACCTTAGTCTTATTTAATAGATCTTTATTAAAAACATTAACTAGCAACCTAACTTGCTTTAGAGCAGGGACTGTCTGTACAGTGCCTAGTACAATTGCACCCCATTCATAGTTGTTCCTTAGGTACTACTGTAATAAACACGATTAACAATAATAGACGTCATATACTCATCCCCTTTGAGGCAAGCAGTTCCTTTCTGTATCACATGAGGGAGCTTCTGAATCCTTTTCAAAGGTAGTCTCAAGTAGTGTTGGCTGATACGATGGTAAAAACACCGGAGCCCTGTGGGTGCAACAGCTTTCACTGGTGGAGCTGTAATAGTGCTAAATTACAACAGAAGTTTGCTATGTAGTCTCCCATTTGCTGTTGGAGAGGCAGCCACAGTGTACCTGGTATAACAGGCTCTGCACAATGACGGGGGAGGAAGGGTTAGCTGGGGCAGGGTTTTTTAAAATACTTGGATCTTTGCATGCAGTGTAGTTGTTGCCATGTCAGTCCCAGGTTATTAGAGAGAGAGAGAGAAGGTAGGTGAGGTCATATTTTTTTAGACCTGAAGACCACCTCTCACCAACAGAAGTTGGTCCAATAAAAGATATTAGTTGGCCCTTTGACATTTTCCTAATATGTTGTCTATCAATGTCTTGTATATTTAGATTATAAGCTCTTTTGGGCAGGAACTCTCTTATTTTGTGTTTGCAGTGAGGCTCTGATCCTGAGTGGGGCCTTGGTGTTACTAGAATATAAATATGAATAACTTGCTACATCTGAATTATACCCATATCTAAAATGAGACAGAAAGGGAAGTGAAGACACAATTTCAAGATGCAAAGTGTGCCAGCATGAGAGAAAAATGTAGAGAATGGGGAAAACTTAATGAGTGTTTTTGTACTTTGAATAATAGTGAAGAGCTCACGAATTGATGTTTTTGAGGAATCTTAATTTCCTCATCCTCAGTGCAGCCCCATAGTTTGTGCTTGCTTGTCTTTCAGCATTTAAATCCAATGGAGTTGTTCATAAATATAATAGAGACTTGAGTGAGGACATGCATGCGTGTTGCAGGTGATGCTGGAGGTGGATTTTGCCTACCTTTAATAGGAAGTTTGCATATTGCTCTTTCTGGCTCTTGCAAACAAACTTTTCCAGTACTAGTAACAAACAACTGGTTAAATCTCTTATTTTATTGTATATTTTTTCTCTTAAACAGGTGATGGTCAACGGGCATGAATACAGGCCTAGCTTTCCCAGCCTTAATAAGAAGCATGCTAAAGCCACAGCAGCAACTGCGGCTCTCCAAGCGATGGGACTTGTACCAAAGGAAAGCATGCCCAATGCCACCATCTTCAGGAGTGCCTCACACCGCTAGATATTGTTTTTTATATTGACATTATTTCAGATAATTTTATTCTGCACAAGAAAGGTATTTCCCCGTTTCATGTTGTAAATACATTGGTGATTCCCACATTGTAAAAACTGTACAGACACCTTCAGGATTTTCTTTTGTACCATCAAAAATGTATTTAAATCATACTTAGTTTTTGGTATGTTTATATTGTTTACATTAGTGATGTAATTATTTCTTAAATGACTAAATTCAACAGGCAGACTCTGGAGGGCATCAGTAATCTAAACCCTTGTTTTAAAACTCATGCAATTTCTCTTTGAACCTCATGCAAGTTCTCTTCAATATGGAATGTTAACACTTTCATACTCTTTTGTACTATAATGCAGTTTTCCCTGGTCTTGGTAAAGCTACTGTTGTAGTACTTTTGCCTATAGCCAGTACAAGGCTGCACAGCTTATCATAGTCTAGAAGAAGGCTGGTATGTACTGCTGGACAGATACTGGGCCAGTAATGTTACCCCCTCCAAGAAGGTAGGTAAATTGTGGCACTGTTGTACAATGCTAACATTACCACTTCTGTCTTGTTTGGGGTTTAAGTCAATGGTGTACTGCAACTGGCCATATTGCTTACTTTTTAAAACTAAAAAGAATAGGCAAATGACCTGGTTTAAATGGGAGGGAAGAAAGTCCAGCGATGAAATTGATGAGAATTGCAGTGTAAAAGTGTCTCTCCCCTGCATGTCCTGGTAAGGAGATATGAAATTGTCTATTCCAATCTCAAATTAACACACTGCCTGATGTTGATTGTATGAATTTGTGGTTAATGTGAATTTTAAGCTATAACAAATCTACAACTGGATGGGGGGTAGAATGATGCTTCAATTGTTGTACCCAACTCAGTCAATAAAGCCGCACAAGTTCATAATCTTAATCGTTGGTCAGTAAACAGTAATTAAGATCTGTGCCAAAGCAGTAATGTAGAGAGTATGTATCAGAGGGGGAGCAATAGTGAAATGTTTTCAGTTGTTTATAAAGTTACCAAGCTAATTTTTGGCCTCATGTTTTCTGTGCTTGTACTCCATCACAGGATGAGGGTTTTGTTTTGTTTTTTTAAGTTTGATTCCAAGTTTTGGCAGTTTTTGATAACGAAAGTAGGTGGGAAAAATAGGCAGTCCTGTTTTTCTCACTTTTTAAAAATAGCTCTAACTCGGTGACAGTAGGGGGTTTGCAAATTTGCAGTGGGGGAAAATAGTTCTCCTGTCATACTTGGCTGAGTTATAAATCTTAGAAAATAGCCACTTGCGCATGCCTAGTAGTTTGTATGCTTATTTCTTAAAAAAAAAAAATTATCCCTCAAAGCTTGTATCCTGTCAGATGCACACAACTCCACAAGCTGTCCTTTGGCCTGAGGGGAAGGAGCTTTGCACTAGGAGCCAGAAGATGAATTCTAGTCCCATTTCTTCCATGGATTAATGTCAATTCTCTATCCTTTGCACCCTTTTTTATTGAGCACTGTCCCATTTCATAGATAGTGACTGAAGGCCAGAGGTGTAGTATAAAGTCACTTTTGTTAAAGCTGGGAATAGAACCTAGCTGTCGAATATGACAGATGAGTTCCATCCATGCTTGCCTGTCAGCAAAATATATAAAATCTGTGTGCTTCGCTAGGCTATTTGTGAATTGGGACTATTCCTCCGTAACCATCTGTACAAAGTGCATTGACAAATACTATAAAGCACTGTTTAAAAATAAAAAAGTAGCATGCAAGAGTCCCAACTCTGTCCCCTGCTCTATCAGTTCACATTCCAAGCCCAGAAGCCTTATATCCAGTACTCTACTGCCCTCTAAAAAATAGTGGCACAAAGGGTTGGATTTTTTAAAATTCTAGTTGAAAAATAAAAAACCCCGTGTTCAAAGACCATTCATGTTGCAAAGTGAAGCACTCAAATAGGAAATGCTTGAATTAAAGATGATGCACAGGTAAACTTAATTACCGAATCATGCTTCCTCCTTCCCCACCAGGCCCCTGACCTCATTAAGGGAATGAAGCTGTTGATTATTGGACCCCTGCTTCATTTACTGCAGAAGTTGGAAGGTCTGTAGTGAAAGTAGACTGGAAGATTGTGGGAGGTGGCCACTAAATGCGTGTTCATGTTTGTCTAGTTGTCCACTTGATGCTCATAAGGTATTGTTTTCAGAAGTGCTCAGCACTGTTCCAGCTGTAGTCAATTAGAGCTGTGGATTTACAGTACCTATGAAAAATCATGCTCTAGTTCAGGAAGACGAGCATCGGTTGGTTTCAAGATGATCTTCACAACAAGCAGGGCTAGAAATGGTTCAATGAAAACTTGTACTCCACTATAATGTGCAAAGGAACACTCCAATATTAGAGTATTCAAATTCACAAGCCATAATGCTATCCCTTTTGCCCAACACAGAAAGTGAACCTTTTCAAAAGAGCTGGTTTAGGTTAAATAGTTCCATACAAAAGACTTAAAAGAATAAGGTTACAGCAGGAAGCACTGCAAAAGTAGATACTAGAATTAAGGTAACCTGTGCAAGATTAGTCCTGCTTAAAGGTAGAGAAAGCAATATAGATGACAGCAAGTCCTCTACAACCAGGGAAGACTTGACACTCCTGATTTCAAAGTTTAAAACTTCTGCTTGTTTTAACAACACTTTTAGGTATTTATGCATAAAATGCCAAACAAGCATTATCACCTATTTTAAAGTAACTCAACAAATTAAACTATTGTAGTTGTTTTAAAGTCATACATAAAGGCTTATGCCTGAAATGCATCCTATTTCTTTAACTCATTTTACCATCAAATTTGCTCATCTAAGTATCATAGTAAGTTAGGGAGGACACTTTATTAGAATTAAAGATTAGTGATGGTGAGTGGAGTGGTAGATCACACCAGCCTAGATGGGTTGAGATAACAAAGCTAAAATCCAAGAGCTATAGTAACTTCTAATTGACTTTCCAACTTCTATGGGGCAGCCTCTTCAGTGTTCTACATGATCTATACCAGGGCTTGGCAATGTTCGGCACGTGGCGCGGCAGCGTAAGCACCCTAGCGGGCCGGGCCAGTTTATTTACCTGCTGACGCGGCAGGTTCAGCTGGCTGCGGTTCTCCATCCCGGGCCAATGGGGGCGGCGGGAAGCCAGCACATCCCTTGGCCCGCGCCGCTTCCCACTGCCCCCATTGGCCCAGGACGGCAAACCGCAGCAAGTGGGGGCCGCGATCAGCCGAACCTGCCGCGTCAGCAGGTAAATAAACTGGCCCGGCCCACTAGGGTGCTTACGCTGGCGAGCCACATGCCGAAGGTTGCCGACCCCGATCTATACTGTGTAGTAAAAAGCATTCTACAGCTCTCCAAGGATCTGTGTCGGTTTTTTAGAGTTACTTTCAGCTAAAGTTGGGACATTTGGGTTGTCTACTGGAGGACAATATCCACTATCTACATAAACCTAGAGCACTGATACTCAGATCTAGGTGGTTTAGAAGCCAAATTAGCAATTAGCATTACCCAAAAGAGTCTCAATAGTTGAATTCATTGTTCCATTTACTATAGTACTATATATTGATATTTAAACGATATGACAGGGGACATAGTCTTTTCACAGCGAAAACAACAAGGAGTCCGGTGGCACCTTAAAGACTAACAGATTTATTTGGACATAAGCTTTCGTGGGTAAAAAACCTCTGAAGAAGTGAGGTTTTTTACCCATGAATGCTTATGCCCAAATAAATCTGTTAGTCTTTAAGGTGCCACCCAACTCCTTGTTGTTTGTGTGGATATAGATTAACACGGCTACCCCCTGATACTTGACATTTTGCTGTGAGGAAAACAAACTGAATAAGTATTATTTCATCAACTACAACTGGTTAATATATAGTAAAAGCATCCTGATTGGTTAATAATTAAATCAGTGTTTTAATATCACCTGCTGCAAGAGACAGGTTAAAGTCACTTGTGGCTTGTCAGCCTCAGTTGTTATCACTAACAGAGTGTGCTTTTCATTGTTGAATCCTTTCAAAATGTACTCTTAAAGTGACAAATTACCTGTCACATGAACAGGTTAGTCATGGTTCAGCTTTGGCAGAATACAATCATAATGAAACAGCAGGTGGATGTTTAGATTCTATTGCAGGTAAAGCTCTCCAGTTTGAGTTACTGAACGTAAGTTTAGTCAACTGATCTTACCAATAGCATTGAAACCCTTCCTTTTTAGATGACAGCTGTGCTTCTAGTTACATTTAGTTACTGCTAAGAATAAACGTTACTTGGGAGGGATACCACTCTGTTTTTTGCTTTAAGTTTCATAGTGTAAAGGAGTTAAGTTATCACTGGTAGGTGGATAAGTGTCACAACTTGTTATACTTATTAGATTAGTTTCTCATTTTATACCTTTAATGAAATGTGAAGGTTTACAATTACAATTCATTTAGCTATCATGGTTTAATCTAGAGGACAACCACTATTTAATCCAATCATTGTCTTTATACTGAAAGAAGTAATCACTGACCTCCAGTGTTCAATAGCAGAGGAGCCACTTCACCTTCTGTAGAAACTAGAAGTGGTTCCTCTAACAGTTCTGTACTCTTAACAATGGTGAAAATATATTAACCCTTAAGAGGCCCTCACTCTTAATTCTAAACAGGAGAAAACACAAGATTACCTTGTTTATAAAAATTTTATTTAAAAACATTAAAAGACAAATGCAGCTGTTGCAGGTTTTGAGAGGGGCAGTGTTCTTGCAGGACTATTCAGAATATTTGTTTTTCCACTGAAAGTTGCTTTTGCAAGTAGGCAATTCTCCCTTCCTGGTACACGATAGCATCCGTAGAGTGTTGACCAAATACTACTAGTCTCATTTCATGAATTAAAATAGCATACTTAGGATTTCCAGATGTAAGCATAGTTTCTCATTTCTAGGAGTCGTATAGAAGACTTTCCTAATGTTGGAAGTTGAATCAATTGATCCAACGTTTTAAGATGCAATCCACACTTAGTGAGGTCCTTCCACATAGTTTCCTGTGGAAATTCAGTTTCACAAAAGAGGTAGGTAAGATGCTTTTCTTTCAAACTACTAATCATATTTTATACCCATTTTTGTGCCAATGAGCAGTAGATATTGAAGAGCTGCCTAGTCTACTGGTGGAGTAGCAAATGATAGGGACTGGGTTAAAGCCATCAGTTTAATGAACATGCTTTTCCACTGTTATGACTAGGAATCCCAGCCTCCTCACTACTGATAAAACCTTGTAAACTGGCTACTCTAAAGTGGCCAACAAGTGGGTGTTAGCCATTATCCCAAGTGAAGAGCAGTTTTTTCCATTCAGTAGTGTCTTGTTTCTAGTGATAAAAAGTATTAACCCTAACATGGAAGACACCCTTTAGGCTACTTACCTTATTTAAGATTCTCTCTGTGTTAGTGTTAAACACGGCCGTTGGCTCATGGGTGTATAATACAGCAGAAAAAGCTCCCTTCTGTGCAGATTTGAGCAGCATGGTCAAAGTATGCAGACAATGAGGCATGACAGGACCCGTGACCTCCAAGCTAAATATATCATTATAACATGAGTGAACCGGTGTTTTCACATTGATGCTTCGAGCCTGAAGACAGTAAGTTACATATTCAGTGTCTGATACATCAAGATTAGTGACAAACCTTATTTTTCATCTACTTCAAAATTAGCTTTAATTCAAGGTTCTTAAAGTGCTTTATGAATATTAGACATTAAGTTATTCATTATCCCTACAAGGCATGGGCTATAGTGTGATTATTATATAAATATACTAAACCCTAATGCACACGAACACTACACAATATGGTAGGTAGAGTGTAACTGCATGGGGAATGTAGTTTGAGAGAATGTAAACAACCCATAATGGAATTTGGCCATGATACCATAATTAATAACA